TTATATACTTAAATTTAATATATATTATTATTTTATAAGTAAACCTTTAAATAAAGATTTATTACTTTAATTTATAGCTAAAATATTTTTAATTATTCGGAATTCTTTTTTATTTAAATTACTTATATATAATATATAGTTTAAATATTAATTATCTAATTTATAACCTTAAGATATTCATATCTAAGAGTAGCTTTATTTAATATATAATATTTAATATACTCAGAAAATGCTGCCTTTATACTCATTTGCAGCCAGAACTCCCTTATCAGGCACTTTAACGCCCGTTATACTATAAGAGCTCACAGTAGAACGCCTAACAAACATCCAGTCAGTAGTAAGCTCACTGGCATCATATCATACATCATTGCATACCCATCATGTCCCAATACGCCACCACAGCAAGGACCCTCTCCCGAGCCCCTCTCGCAGGAAAGGCCATCTCCCCCGCCCTCCCAACTCTGGGTAGGGCAGCACCCCCATACCAATCCAAGTGGAAGCGAACAGCACCTGTGCCGCTTTCGGGAGAAAGCTTCCTTGATGTTCTGTTTAACCGGACGCCTGTCATTAAGCAGCCTGGCTTCCTTGGCCGTGATGAGTGCTTTGCTCATGAGAAGGCTTTGAGTCATAGGATTGCGCCGTATAGGTATTATACTGGGCCTCTTTTGCAGAGGGTTGGCTGTGCACAGTTTGAGTATCAGGCGCAAGCTGCTGCTGACTTTGAGAACCGTAAGAATGGTATGTGTGATCCAATTCCTTTTAGCAAATAAGGTTATCTAATGGTACCTATTCGTCGATAGAAAAGGAGGAATACTTCAAGGTCGCACAGTCTCTCAGTGGGCTTCATCAAGAAGTTGCAGATCAGACAGGAGTCAATGCTTGGGAGAAGGTTATTGGAACTCTCCGGGCATTACTACCCGACTATGAGATTGTTCGTGCATCAGAAGGGCCGGGAAAGACATACTTCTCAGGCAACTTCCGTGCTTTGAACGATTCCACCTGTCTTCACTGCGATTGGACACCATATGATGCTGCTACTGAGGACTGGATCATCAATCAGGTAAGCGTCCTTCTTTCCATCAACCTTGGCAATGCCTTTCATAAAGTCCGCATTGCTTACCTGATCTCTAGGTCACCCATCAGGCCGTTTTCAACCTGTACATGGCGCCTGTAAAGGGTGGCAGGACTTGGGTTCATGACGTTGAGTGGAGTGAGGAGTGCCTCAACTTTCGAGATCCTGACACCTACGGCTATCGTGATGAGATCATTCATGGCCGCCAGAATGTCGTAGTTAAGCCAGAGGTTGGTGACCTATGGTTCTTCAACTCTAGGAACATGCATCAGGTTGAGAAAGTTGAACCAGAGCCTTGCCCTGAGCTTGGCCTGCCGTACAGACCACGACTATGTCTCAGCAGCTTCATTGGACTTCTACCCGAGCACAAAACTGGAGGCCGTCCTCGATTGATATTGTGGTCGTGAAGTCTTATACTCACTACTCAGGGAGCAAGTCGGGCTTGTCGCATTCCCCACAGGTCCATGCTGTTCTTATAGCAAGTTGGTTTCACAGGTTACTGCCTCTGAAAAGATTAAAAGTCTGAAAGAATTATGGACAGCTAGCGCTAGCTATTGGCATAATAAACTTCTGCCTGAGGATTGACCTGTGCTACGAGATGACGTTCAGTATCAAATAAATGGAGGAGCAGCGTAACCTCCTGCTTCAGTTCCCTTGCGTGCAAGACGCACGTTGGTCTTTCCACTTGAACCTTGTTCCTTCTGACTGCCTTGAGCGTTCTACCCTAACAGTTGTCAGAAGAGCCCGTCGCTCCTCCCTAAACTCCTATCAAAGAGTGGTCAACAAACCGAATGACCTTTCGGCCTGTCCCACTGAGCTCAAACCCAAGAACATCATTCACAAAAGTGATCTTGAACTTGTGCTCATTAGATGGATTAACATCTAGGCATGCCTTCAGCCGGTCCAACAAGGTCTGTGAGTGCACTGTATCCCCTGAGTTCTGGCCGCTCAACAGACGAATCTCCAACGAAATTTCTTGCGACGTTTGCATCTTGTCTAGTATCACCTGCCACAAGAGAACTCCAGACTGAGTATCAGATAAGATCGTATTGAGTTTGTCGAACTGAAAGTCACATCCATCCCACATGAAACTGAAGCGATGATCGCGACCCTGCAAGCGGAGAATGCGATAATGAGGTAGATCATGTTTGACAACGCGATCAACGGCCTTTTGTGGCAGAGCGTGAATGGAGCCGATATCGCCAGTTATGTAACGTATCACAGGGTGGCGTAGACGTGTCAGCACCGTTTGTGCAATGACACCTGTTTCTCCGTCCGGTAGTGGTTCAGGGATCTCGTCGCTCTCGCTGCCCGCGCAAGATAGAGGAAGGACCTCAATGATCGTCATCCGCGTATCGATAACGAAATCATTATAGTTCGAGGAGGGGTCAAAGTCCACGAGAAAGGGGCTACTTGCTCCATAAGGACCAGCCTCTGCACTCCCGAGTACAGAGTATATGGCCACTGGGGCCAGCACCTTGTAGATTTGCACTCTCTGCATTATAGAAAGCCCTTCAGACGTGTATATCACTTTTCTGATCTTGATCTTCTTCTTTATGTCTGGTATGGTCGACATATGGTGGATGATTGATACGATCTGACTGCTGTCGCCAGTGAGAACGTTGACGTCAAAGTCTTGCAGGATCCGCACCACAGTAGCAGGTGAGCATTGGTGCCCAGCGGCTAGCACAGAAGCACCGGCATTTTCCATAATCTCGAGTGCAAGATCAAGGGATCTAAGAGGATGTAAGCGGCGTGACTGCAATGATATGAATGTGTTGGTATACCTGTATAAGCTGCCGCCGTGATGAGTCGACAGGACCCAGTCTCCACGTTCAATGATGCCGGTCTTCTTTAGAAACTCACCAAATAGGGCTCTATGCCGACGGTTTTCGATAGCATCTGTCGCGAAGAACAAAGGCTTTGATACACCTCCGCCTCCGCCCGTGACACTTGTGTAGACATTGTGGCGATACGTGTTCCTCGGGTCGGTGTCGTTGATAAGCCGTTCAATCACGGTATATCTAATGACATCAGATACTGCATATAGGACCTTTATCAAACTTACAAGTCGCTTTTTCGAAGCAATGGCCATGAATTTAGCTCAGCTTGTTCGTACTTCGATGCCGCTTCCTCTCTTGCATACTGAATGGCGTCTTCATCTGGCGGGTACTGAGAAGAGCAATAGAACGGGTGCAATCGTGCAACAGCAAGCACATCTGCTAGCGAATATGTTGGCCTGGGAGGCATGCTGTATTTTGGCTATGAGCACGAACTGTTTGTGTCAAGGTAGCTTCCGTAGCGTGCTCCCAAGCGCAAAATTCAACTGCTTAACCGTGAAAAGCAGTCCAGTGACTTTTGATCTTGGATGCAGTGATCAGAAGCTTGAGAGCGTGATGTATGGCCGCATCGGCTAAAGTTGCCTCGAAAGTCCGCGTATCGCTGGCATGGCTTGAGCTGTCAAGTGTCTCGGAAGGGGCCCTGCCCTAGACACGGTTGTGCCCAAGTATCCGTCGTATTCTGCTCTGACATGGAACCCGAAAGCCACTCGGGGAATGCATGTCTTGTGTTACCATAACCTAGGGAATCGACGTAAAAGCATCAGATCGTGCGGGGAACTGGTCGAAATTTCCCGAGAGGCTGGATACGTAAAAGGTTATTGGCACATCAACAGGCTTTATCGAACCATTCGTGACAAGAGTGGGCTCTTCTCATGCAAGCCTAGAGGTCTTGATGGCACTGAAGTTTACTCTTCGTGTGAACCAGCGCTTAGCATACGACGATCTTTCGGACGACCTGCGTGATACGCAAACATTCTCACAAATAAGCGCACAGCGGCCGATGCAAATGAGAACGACTTGGAATAGGAAAAAATAAATGTTCCAGTCCTAATCGAAGTATTGGCTCGTTATGCCTCTCCCTGTTCTAACTACCATCATCGGAGATATTGAATGGTCGTGCATCCCATCTCACCCTCCGAAGGTGGCGCTCTGGATCCTGAATCTCATTCCGCGAATGCATCCATCGGCGGTTATCCATCAAGACAATTGACCCCTTTGGCAGATCGGACGATCTCAGATGTATGGTTGAGGATGCCTGTGCTTCACTCCGCACCAACACTGCGCCCAGCTCTTCCAATGCTTCTGCAGCCTGAGTAGTCAGTGGCGTAATAATGTCGTCTCTGTAGCGAATAATGGTCGAGTGGCGATCTGTGGCGACGATGCTGCCAGTTATAAATGATTTCTCGGGTTCTTTGATGAACTCGGGTGGGATCTTCATCCGGAACTCAGGGGCCATCAAAGCCTCTCGTGTATCCTGTGATAGAAACCCAACGAGGCTAGCTACATTCAGCGCAGACAGTGTGCCACCTCCATACCGATCATGTTGTAGGACCTGGAGGGCGAAGTATCTCGGCAGCGGATCCCCATAGCTGCAATCGGTGTGCCAGGAGAACTCACTCATAGTTTCGGACCGAGCGTGATGGGCTCCTGCAGCGGAAGCTGGTTTAGGCCGCACATCCCAGAACCAGCCTCTTGCCGCACTATGAGTAATCGGCAAGTGATGGCCATGCTGTTTGTGCATGCTTAAGATAAGATCCTGAAGATACTCAGAAGAGTCATCAGGAAAGCCCAGCCGAATTTTGAGCAACCCAAAATTCTGTAGCTCTACTCCAACTTCGTGAACATGTCCAAGATCACGGGCATAGGAGACTTGCGGCACATCAAGGACCCGAAGGCTGTGCTGTAGTGTGCCATGGGAGCGAATTAAATGGCGTGGATATGTCGGCCCAAGGGTGCCGAATTTTGTAAGACGCGGAAGTCTATGCATCGTAGCAGTAGACATAGGAGGATCGGTGATGGAGCAGGAGTTCGAGATAACAGGGTCACTCGAGGCAGATAGGTTTATTATCGACGTTAATCGAAGTACGTACCGTAATGATTTCTCTATGATTCTTGCTGGACCTGACTATTCTACGGCCGCCCCCACCAATCTTGACACCACCGCCGTTCTCGCTGTGGCTTTCTTGTCTCAAATGACAACTAAATCAATGGTGTTGTTGATCTTGGGAGTGACTGGATAAAGATAGAAGCCAAGTCCTTCCATATGATGCCTTCTCTGAAAGTATAAATAGTCCCAAGCGATGTCATCCACTAGCCGATATGTTAGACTCACGTCAAGAAACTCAGTCGTGTACTATGCAGACTGAACACTTCACACAAGTCCACATCGGGGATGGTGATGGCAACGTGCAACAAATTTCGCAACAGAACCTCGATGTGACATCCTTCTCTGGTGAGGAAGCTCGGTTCCAGGAAAAACTGTTGAAGCTTTGCCCCGCGAATCTCTGGCACAAGGCTTCTTACACAGCAGGATGTCCGCGACCTGTACTAGTGGGCCAACATCACCAGCGGCAGCTGAAAGATCTTCACGAAGCTTTGACAGCGGCCATCACGGATGTTGTGCAACGCTGGTGGAGTGACAGAGATGCACGGTTCCCAGAGCGTATGCCATTAGAGGCGAAGGAGGAGGAGCTCCTGCAAGTACGCCAATCAATCGTCGTCTGAGACATGAAGAAGAAAATGAGACGACAGCTGACGCGTAAGATAGTGGATCGAAAGCCAAGTCCTTGTCGGGAACCTGCCGCAGTTCTCGCAGTGTCGGGGATCATGGCGTCCAGACTTCCTGGTGGAGGACAGCAGCGAGCGGGAAGAGAATCACTGTATTACAGAAATCAATGCACGTTTCTCTTTTAACGGATTCATGCACGAGGCCTATGGACAAGTGGCAACCAACAAGAGCATAGAGAGCGCGGAGGCGGAGTTCATGTCCGCAACTGACCCTGACACCGTAAGACAATACCCATGCACCTTTCGTTTATTTGTTTTGACACAAGTAGATACTGGAAGGACTGTTCAGCTTATTCGATCCCGAGTATCCACTACATCTTCTGAAAGGTACCGAAAAAGGCATCGATATCCACATGTTCATCAATGCCGTCGAGCATCGTTTCGGCGCAAAGCCACGGCTCATCGCCCCCGCAGACCTCAGACTAGTCCCCGATGCACGTAGCAAAAGCGGGTTCCGGTTGTGCTGTGTCATACATGATCGGGATGACCAAGTCCCCAATACCTGGAGATTTGTATCGCCAATTGGTGAGATTTATGAAGAGATGCATCAGATTGGGCTTGAGTTACATCAATGGGAACTTCTCGCTCTAGAGCCGGAAATGCTGCGTCAGATCAGCCTGCGGTGTTTTAACGATATGCGAACTATACTTCTCGTGCATGACAAGCGGATGTTGGGCATTGTGAGACAGGAGATCCCGAAGCTAGTGGAGCGCGGAGTAGTGACCTCGGTTCAAGCTGAAGCCCTACGTTTTGGCGTCGTGGAGACACTTCTTCCTGGTTCTCCGGAGCTGAAAGATCTTCTGCAAGTGTCCCTTACTTCTCCCGACTTGAGACACAGCTACATCCTCAAACCGATCCGCAGTGGCAAAGGCAACGGCATCATTTTCGGGGAGGATGTCACGGGACCCGAGTGGAGATCCCTTCTGCAAGCTCTCACATGGCCTGGTGGTATTTCAGAAGATTTGTGCGTGGTACAGCGGCGTATTATTCCGCGTAAGTACAATCTTGTGCTGCGTGCATCAGAAGGGATGGTTCAGTATGGTCTGGTGGGAACGTACCACGTTACAAACGGGAAGTTGCTTGGTCTTGGCAACTGGCGTGCGAGCGGAGGCCGAATTGTTGCCGTAGCATCTGGGGGATCTTGGATTTGTTCGATCATGAGAAGGGCCAAGGACGCTCATGAAGAATGCGGCATTAACAACGGTGACTTACTTTAGATTCTTTCATACATATTCAATAGAACTTGAACAATGTTGTTGATGAAATTGGTAACGCCGCTACGTCCAAAAAGATCACCAGAGAGACATTCTCTTAGACGATTCTCACTTGTTTGCCAGAGGACAGCCATTTGACCTTATTCCCCAACCCTCCGGAACCAAATATGTCCTTCAGATCCTTACTACCCTGTGTAAAGTGCGACCAGGACTCAAAGTGCATAGGAACTAGCATATCAGCCTCCAAAACCTCCATCATTTTCACAGCATCCTCGCCGCCCATCGTGATCTGCACGAACCCACTGGGGCTCTTCGGACTAGGTAACATCGCCTGCCCGAGATTCGTGAGTGCAACCACAACATGATACTTCTCACGAAGCTTCCTGAATTCATCCTCCATAAATACTGTATCGCCGGTGAAGTAAATTACATTTGGTCGTCCATCTGGGCTGTAACCGAAGGATTCTTTGTGTAAAAGAAAGCCTGTTACTTCGCCGCCTGGAACATGGACGCAAGGAACACCAGTAATGCTCCATTCTTCGCCTCCAAGGCGGAACTCCAAGGTTTGCCACGGCGTGATAGCGCAGGTTCCAGGATATTCAGACAGGTTCTTTGCACCATCGGGCGTAGTAATGACTCTGCGGCCGATGAGGAGTTGACGGCCTGTCTCATCCAGGTTGTCAACATGGTCTTCGTGGCTGAGCAAGACGCAGTCAATGATGGGGAGTTGCCGGATTGGTATAGCGGGGCCTTCTTGCATGGAGAGGAAGAATTCGCCTGGCTTCAAGCCAATCGCCTGTGACCGGTCATGGCTCTGAGGAGCCTCGTCGAAGATGGGATCAGTGATGAACTTGACACCATCGATATCAACGATCGCAGTTGCGGTAGTGATGTGAGTGATGGCAACTTTGCTCTTGAAGTTCACAGGAATCGTCATTTTGATAATATTTGTACTGTAGTAAAGAGGTAGTAAGTTGGAAGTGATGCGACTGGATTGTTCTAACGAGTTCGTTTCAAGCCTACAGCCAGTTCTGATATACTACAAGCGAGGCCCGATGCCGTTATCCATTTATCAGCCAGCTGATAAATTAAACCCCGAGGGAAATAATATTCCTTCGACAACGATGCTGCAATGATCGGTAGTGTCGGGCATGTTAATAATTTCTCCGTCTCAATTATATGTATCTCGGCGACCTCTCTTGAAACAGTGGATCTGGGCTTCACTGACATCCAATCCGAGCTTGCAGATTCGGGATGATTGAATCAATACTTTACGTACTTTGCAACTATATGGCAAGTTCGGCTGAATAGAGAAAATCTGAGATTGTTATTCGTGTATTAAAAGAAAATACCTACAACCAAATCCGACCCTTTTGAGTTCAGTAGTACGACACCATCTTCGCCGCTGACAGGACCACTCAACACCACCAGAAAATGCACTTATGTAAAAAGTCCGACCACCCAGAAACAAATAATCTGATTACTCTTCAGGCTTACGGCCCCAAACAACTCGCTGCTTGTAGTAAGGATGATGCTTGCCCGAGTGAATCTCCCTCCGAGCATGCGCAAGAAAGACATGAATTTCCGACTCCGTCCAGCCGATCGTGTTAGCTACAAAAAGCACAAAGCCTTCGGGATCGGCAAGGAACGCAAGCTTGCCGAACTGGCCGAGCTCTTTCAGCGCTGGATCCTTGGGCCAGCCGCCAATTGGGGTCTGCAGTTGGTTGTCATCAGTCATTGTTCGCGAGTTCACATACGGGTTCTTTACCTTGTACTCGAATTGCTGGATATTAACAAAGCCAGCAGCTTCCATGGCTTTCCGCTGCAGCTCTTCTTCATACACGCTAAAGCTCACGCCTAGCTTCTTGGCTCCCTCAATGAACAGCTTACCCCACTGGCCCAGCGCAGAGCTCTCCTTTACCGTATCGTCATCGCTGGTGATGATGCCTGAAGGTTCGAAACTCTCGACCCAACCACCTGGCTTGCAGGTCTTGTAGGCCTCGCGGAAGAACTTGTACCAATCGGGGATACTGCCGATGAGCCAGCGGATGTGGATGTAGTCAGCTGAGTCGGGTGCAAATGTCCACTCTTGGGTACAGTCTTCGATCTCGCTGAAAGCATATCAGTATACGCAATTGAAAGCTTGTACGGGGTTCAAGTTACTCACAATTTCAAGTTCGGTGGCACCCAGGAGGGTTGGATTGGCGATACATCGGTGCCGATAACCTCAACGTTGGGATACTCGTCCGCAAAATCTCTGCCCAAGGTCAGCGCGCGTCTCGGGTTGCATTTTGGAGACCTACAAAGCCCAGATACCTGAATGGCATGTTAGCTATGATAAGACATAATCGAGGTAGATTTCACGTACCGGTACCCGTTCCAATATCAAGCGCTTTCTTTTTAAATCTGTCAGCTTTGAAACATGTCTTCGAGGTCTCCATTCATCGCTCACTGTGATTTTCTCAGTGTCAAGAGGCGCCAGATGCGTCTTTCCTCCAATACCCAGCGTCAAACAATGGTGGCTATCAAATATCAGTCGTCTGTCTTGCATGGACGGAATTCGCAGTCCAGCCTACTTGATGTCGAGAAGTTCACTTTGTCTTTCATCATTTGCAGCCCTATCTTCGTAAGCCTCGCTCCACGATAAATGCATACCCAAATATCTTACCAATACTGTGAACTGCCAATTTCCCGATGATACGTCCTCCCATGAAGCTTGCGGTATTCAAAAATACTAGAGCTCACTGAATCTGTTGAGGACGCAAGACTTTCTTCGCTCAGCGAATGAGCATCGTCGTCTGCGTTCTCTTCCTGGAATCAAGTCAGCATAACATGCATATAAGCGACCAACATAAAACCCATAAGCCTGTTGGTTTGTCGGTCTTATCTCACCTCGGCAAGCTGCTGCCAATGCGTAGGTTCCAGAATGCCGGTATCCCCAACATTCACCTGCGCATGCTGAGGGGGGCTTTTTGAGGGGCTCTTTGAGGGACTTTTGCCCGTATTCTTGGCAGGACTCTTTTCGCTCTTTGGGCTTGTCGCAGCCGCCGGCGGTGTCGACATTTTGAGTCCGTATACGTTTGTCGCAAAGACCTTGTTCGTTGCGGTCCTTTTAGCTTTCGGGAGCTTATATAGCGCAGAGTCTATGTGGGAAAAAGAGAAAAACCGAAAATGCGATCTGGGAATTTTCGGTCGGGGGAAATAAATGATAAGATAAATGGTTCTACTCCATATTTGGGGGGGTTCGGCGAATTATAGTGACGAGACTTGGGGGTAGACGAGCGAATGAAATGCTTGGCCGAAGGTTCTTAGTTGATCAGCATGGGGAGACGTGTCAGTTCGTGCAGGGTTCGAGGTGGGGGGATCATGCATCATTTTGATGGTACAAACTTGCTAAACAGACGATTAAATCATATCATATTTGAAGTCCCTTTTTATGATGACGGTGTTCAATTAACAGCACAACTACATGTGCGTAAGCTCGAGCCCCAATTCCGATACTCTCATCTCAGCTTGTTAGAGGAAGCTTCTCATCGCGACGCTCACCTGAGCTACGATAACTTAGTCTACATGGATAACATGACACTAGCCCGATAAAGAAAGTATGGCATGAACACCCTAAAAACGATCCTGGGCAGCAAGATTCGCCGATGCAGTGAAGAGGGTCAATGACACCTTGATACATTGGTGATGCGATTGCGTGCATCGAGACGACTACCAATGCGATGAGGCGCCAGCAGTTTGAGCCTGTATCTGAAAATGTTCCTTGACTCATAGCTGACCATCCACGCTTGCTAAGATTTCCTGCTCCCAGTCATCATCGCTAGCGTCCCATTGGGCAGTACCATCCTCGCCATCAAACCAGAGCCCTTCCCCAAGTCTGGCCTCGCAAGCAATACCCTTGTTCTCAAGAAACCTCATAAACCGACCTCCAGGAACATCTCCAAGCGGCTCACCACATCTCTTCGACCCAACAACAATTCCCTTTAGATAAACGCGCCTCAAAGCAGGAAACTCTCGCGCCTTCAGGGCTCTCTCGAGCATGTTCATTAACCTCTCGCTACCGAGACCGTCCTGGTCACTTCGGAAGAACCCTTCTGAATCATCGACGGCGCCATCTCCATGCTCTATCCCAATTCGTTGCTCTACCGACAGCGTCTCGAGTGTTTCACATGAAGCTTGTAAAACATTCTCCCAATCTTGATGGGCTGAAACCTCAGCACTTGTTGACCAGAAATAGCTGACCATTCTTGCTGATAGGTTACTCTGCGATGGCTGCCAGAGATGCAAGTGTCGTAGTCTTGGCAATCTAAATGGGGACGCGTCTTTATGAAGTGGTAAGAAGCCGGATAAGGGCCTAGGTATGACAGCCCATCCATGAAGTCTACCATACGTAGGGTCATCGGGTGGACTGTAGATATCTTCAGGCAAGTGTGGAAAATCGTCCTCCATAGTTGCTCTTGATTCTATCGGTTTGTCAAGTAGTCCGAGCTCCAGTCGCTCGACGGTTGAGCACCACTCCAATATCCATTTGGCAACGGCCGTAGAGAACAGGCCATCGAGCTTTACATAACGGAGCTTCGTGAGTATAGGAGAAGATGGGCAGAAAGACCTATGCCCATGCTGGTCGAAGTAAGAGGGGTCTCCATATAGCTCAAGAGCCTTGACATTGGTAAAGAATGGTAGGATTTGCCAAATGTCTATCTTGGAGCGAACCATCGTGCAGATAGACTCAACTCGCGAACACAGTTGTTTCAGCCGGCCAATGTCCTCAGAAAGCATATCATGCAACATGTCGAAGAATGCTTGTGCCTTCCATTGCCCCAAGTATCCAGCGTCCCAGTAGTCAAAGCGGTGGGATGCAGAAATTATGGGTGAGGGCTGTTTCGAGTTGCAAATTTCGTGGAATGTATAATGATGGAACCCGATATTGGTCCATAACAGAGGCTCAGCAAGTCTGTTGAGTCTTTTACAGGTTCGGGATAGCTGGGTGAGTTCGTGCGCCGTGGCATTGGCCAAGATGATGCTGACAATCTCTTCAGGTAGGGAATCCATTGTTGAAGGGCGTCGTGAGCGGGGTATAACAGCAACAAAAGAGTATGTAAAGGGGGATGAAGGAGGAGAGAGAGAGAATGAATTATTTATCACCAGTTTAGAGCATTGACGATAATAAAACAAATCAAAGCTCAGGCGCTCAATGACTCAGAGGGGGAGCTATGCATTAAATTAATTGAAGGACCGAAGCCCCGCAATCATGGCTGAAGCTGGATCATGCGTCACTATTCCGTAGGGCACAATATACCCTAGAGTAGCGGTATCCAATGATTCCACAACACAGCGCCCATGTAAGTGTTCCATTGCTTGTAACAAAGAGAAAATTGACTTAAAAACTTTAAGTTTAAGAATTGAGTTATGGATTGGAACGGCATTTATTTTGGGCAGTATGTGGCGCCTTTGTCTTCAAATCTTTGCATGAGAGCAACAAGCTCGATGTCACCGTCATCAACAGATTCAGTTCCAAGATAACCGAGTATCCTGAACCGACAAAAGCTGTTCAAGTGCACGATGAGTACACACTACTCGAGCTAGTACAGGCATTTTGTAGCCACGATGCTGTCTTACTGGCTTTGGGTTTCGCAGCACAGGAGCGTCTCCCCGAGCGAGCTCGTGCCTCCGTTGAGAGCCGTGGTCAAGAGATTGATCGCCTCGGGCTACGGTGCTGACACGACCAACCAAGAAGCTGTAAAGGTCGTTCCTGTTGTGGCTGCGAAAGTGCGGATGATTGAGCACCTCAGGTTTCTCAAGCAGCCAGGCTGGTCCTGGATTGAAGTTGCTAGCGAAGTTTTCTTAGATTTGTGACCTCATTCAACACTCGGGCTGAAGTATGTTTGTTGACAGCCTTATATAGTCTCATACAAGTCCGTATTCCTGGTGTAAGCCCCACTGACGAGACAACTGAGATTCTGAATGATGGGGATGTTAAGCTTACGGCTACTACCCGTGATGGTGTTGGCATTCTCAGTCATCTAGAAGAAAAAGCGAACTGCATTGCCTACAGCTCGCCGACAAAGCTGTCTCTGAACGATATCCTGGAAGCCTAGAGAAAGATCCCCGGTAACGGAGGATGGAAGATCACGCATGTCAAGCCGGACGAAGAGATCGCCAAGGCACAGCAGATCGTTGCAACAGCCACAAAAATGATGCCCAGAATTATGACTAAAAGAACATTGGGACTTGCAGTCAATGTTCAGGACAGGTTTGAGGCAACTTTTGAGAAACGGGGCGTCCTCGACAAATGACTTGTTGGGAGTACCGCAGAAGAGCATCGAAGACGTTGTCGCGCGAGTCAGGAACGGGCGCTGGAGATGCGTCTGTTAGAACAGGCACAGGAATGAGCTAGATACTCTCAGTTATTTCTCATGTTTGGCAATATTTGTAGATTATTGCATGTTCTGAAGCAGCATGCGGGCATCGTACTACCTTCGTTGCTGAGCCCGTGCAACAATAGTTCTTGATGCTAATATGTCAAATTTACCAACAGAAGTGGATAAACTTATCCCACCAGTAACTTCTGACCTGTGCAGGGCAATCCTTGGCTAACGATATGATTTGCCAGCGATGATTTAAGATGAGGGGAATGCTCACGTGTGGAGAAGCGTCGCATCCAATTCGACCCATATCCGGCACTCAACTTCAGCTGACGTATCCTCAGCCTGATATCTTGAATCCGAATACCTGCTAAACAATAGACAAGAAGAACACAAGCTGGCTCAGGTTGAAGTTACAGACAAATGCTAGCAGCAGCACGAGCAGAACTCGCGTCTGGTGATTCAGCCGCCGGCCCAAATGGTGCCTCCACAAAACCGCCCAAGAAGCGCGTCCGCAATTTCACGGCAGATGATCGGGCTGCGCATCGAATCTTTGAGAAGAAACGCCGGGAGCTGTTTCGAGAGCGCCTAAATGTGAGATCATTCCTGAATCTTTACCAAGGCTCGTCTAACGCTTTGTTGTAGGACTTGGCGAAAGAACTGCCTGCGCTAGCTGGGAAGAACCCCGCCAGGCTGTCAAAGCACGACGTGATTGAGGAGAGTATAAACCGTCATCAGGTTGAGCGTGGCACATGCCTGGATGTGATACAAGCGTATAGAGCCATGGTTCAGGAAAGAGATGAGTTGCTGGCTGAGGTGAATACCTGGCGAGCTACGGCTGGGGGGCCTGAACGTCATGCTGCGAGCCACCAGATGGACCTTGATGAGTTGGGAAAGCTGGAGGCCAAAGTTCGAGGTCAACAGGCAGAAGGCCCTCGCGCAGAAGTCCAGGATTCTGCTCCAGTAGACACAAGCTATACTATCGTCAACGATCCGACTTCTCAGCATTCTTTCTCTCCCCCGACCAATTCTATTCATCCAGGACCGGTACCCCACCCAGCCTTACTAGGCAACGAAGAAGGTAGTCTGATTTCAAGCTCTTCATTTGAGCCAGCTGGCCCGATATCCGATCCGAACGCCCTTCTGAACACGGCCATGGCACTGATGGAAACGCAACATTTACCGAACCAAGCTATGATGATACCACTAAAGAATATGAACGACCCAAGTGCCGATGCGATTACAGAACCACAACTAGAGAACGGCAGGCCCATCTCCAATATGCACGACTTCTTTGCGGACACTTCAGCCGATCACATATCTCTCGCAGACTGGGGCACGGATTTTCCTCTTTCGGCAATGGACTTTGGGCCAGATACGACACTTCAACAGTATTGTTTCTAGTACCTTCGGGCAACTTGTTTTCCTGGTCAATTTCAGGCGATATGGAGACTTATCTACACTTTAGCCAGCATAGCTTCAACCTTGGCCTTGCTTCGCTCTTCACCACCAATAAACAGTGTCAGCGCATCTGCCAAGCGAGTCTTGGTCGCTTTATCAGCTTCATTCGCTTCATCAATCTCAGCACCACCGTTAGCAAGATAATCGATATCAGTGCTAGCCAACTTTCCGTCCCAGTTTGGTCCAGCCAAGGGATCGATAGAGAGGAGCTTTTTGAGACGCTCCGGCAGTGGATTGGCGTTCTTGTAGGCATGAACAGGTTTGGGTAGGCCTTCTCCGGGTTGCTTTGAAGCGTCATAGGGAAGCTTAGAGAGCTTCTCGAGGACGGTATGGGAGATTGTGGCGGAGTGGCATCCCATTTCACCAGCAGCCATAGCCTCTTGAGGTGTGATGAAGCTGGATCGTCAGAAGGAAACTCGAATCGGTGATATCTTTCTTACCTGGCGTTCTTCACAAGGGGTTGTTCCTTTCCGGTTTCCTTGTAAAGTCGTTTGTACGTCTCAAGAATCTGAACGATGCGCGGAGAATTTGGGTGCTCCAGCGCAGGGTCAGCAACGTCTGGCCAAAGAGATAGCTCATCATGAGCCCGCGTTTCTGTAGTTCTGTGTCAATTTTATGCCTCTACTGCTTCTTCCTTAACATACCGTTGTAATAGGGACTGATGTACAGCATACCAGCCTGGCTGCAAGCGATAGCCTGCGCCAGACTGAAAAGTGCCGTGCCAAGTGTCGGAATACCCTCGGCAGAGAGAATCTTTGCGGCATTCAAAGCAGGCCCAGTGGAAGGAATCTTGATACAGAATCGCTCTCGCGAGATACCGGCCCTGGCAAATTCCTTATCGTAAAGGCGTGCATGATCAAGAGTTGCTTGCGTGTCGTAGGCCTTGGAGGGAAGTGTCTGCAGAAGAACACGTCCTTGGATGAAATCGATGTTCTTCTTGCACATGAGAACTGCCTGTGACCTAGTGAGCAGGCTTTTCTTGTCTCTGGTGAGACGTATCAATTACCATGCGCGTATAGATGGCGAGCCAGCCTTGGTCTTTGAGCTCCTTTGTAGTTTGCTCGAACAATTCTTTGTTCGAGTCATCGCCGAGTTGGATGTCAACCCAGAGTTGATTGCTGGTCTGATCATGGAACTTGAATGGCATGGATTTGATCCACTCAGGAGCCATCCAGTCGACATCCACGTTGACTAATTCCATCAGCATTACGTCGTTAAGACATTTTTCAGAAGAAAAACGTACGCTGCTCTTCGAGCTTGTCGAGCCATGATTGAGTTCCAGTGCTTCCCATTTCGGATAAGATTTGCAGAATGTTCTGTTGGTAGATGTAAAAGATGATTGTTTTGATGACTTACTCTTCTTGGTGCAGCATAGAGGGCGGATGAGGAATACGCTTATAACCTGACTTCCATCAAGTTCAAATGGTTGCAAAATGCCGAGATTTCGACCGTAACGTAACCTGCCCTGCGTGTACCAAGTCTCTGTGTACTATTCCCCTCCTATGCCCTGCGTGTGCCAATTCATTCTGTCGAATCTTCCCCGCTCGTGCCCTGTGTGCTCCATTGCCCTGCGTGTGGCCTCAGCATGTTAGTACATTCCAGTTGGCCAATCGGGTCGTTGGCCCGATTACACTAGCAGCTCCTTCGGGGGTAATTGTTCAGTTTGCCGAAATCCGGCACTTTAGGGACATTCCTGTTTGCCTCATCTCACATGATGTAAACTCTTATGCGGGGTGGAATCATTCCGTCTGGGGTGGAAGTAACGCCATTCTAGGAAGAGTATGGAGCCAAAGTATCAACTCTGGGGAACCTAGTCACCCCGCAAGGTGATGCTCTGATCGGCGAGTATAAAAGTGGCCCTCTTGCGCTGATGAACAGACACGATGTTCAAGAGCTATCAATTGGTTGTCAGTAATTCTGCATATTTTACAAAGCATTATGGACCGCAAGTCTGATATTGAAGATCAGGTCAAGCATGGTGTTGAACACATTGACCATCTCACGCCGCAAGACTTTACTCGAAATGCCAACGCCAAGTATGTTGCTCCTCGGACAGTAGACAGTTGCTGACATAGTCAATCTGCAGGATTCGTAATCCTCTTGCTGGAATATCTCGAGCTGACCTGCGAACGCAAGTCAATGCCTTCTGCGAAGACTATGACTTCCAGGACAAGATAGACATCTTCTACCGCGGTGCACTTGCAGCTCAAAACCCTACAAGCTACGAGAACATCGAAGAGCTTACTGAAGAAGACAAACGCGTGCTGCAACGGGAAGTGACTCATAAGTGGCATCTTCCTCGTACTCTCTACTATGGCATTGCTCTTTGCTCTCTTGGATCTGCCGTTCAAGGCTGGGACAACACCGGAGCCAACGGAGCTAACCTATCGTTCCCGCAAGAATTCGGTATTGAGCATAGAACCACTCTTATTGGTGTCATCAACTCTGGGCCTACTCTCTTCGGTTTGTTGAGTGCTTGGGCAGCGGATCCTATCAACAACCGCATTGGTCGTCGAGGTGCCATCTTCTTGACCGGCCTTTTCTGTATCTTTCCCGTCCTTGCTCAAGCGTTTACCCAGAACTGGTGGGGACTCTTGATCTGTCGTCTTTTCATGGGCTTGGGAATGGGTATCAAGATCTCGACCATTCCTGTTTACTCAGCCGAAATTGCTCCAGCATCTATCAGAGGTGGCATTGTCACCAGCTTTCAGCTATGGGTTGCTTTCGGCATTTTTGTAGGATTCTGCTCGAACCTCATCTGGTATCGTATCGGAGATCTTGCTTGGCGGTTCCAGCTTGCAGCTGCGTTTGTCCCAGCTATTCCGGTAGTTATCTTTGTTTGGCTCTGCCCTGGTCAGTACTCCCTCATGCTATACCAGTTTCATAGGCTAACGTTTATACTAGAGTCCCCTCGCTGGCTTATCAAGAAGGGACGCTATCAAGACTCTTTCAAAGTCTTCTGCCGCATCCGGAACACGGAGATGCTAGCAGCTCGAGACCTATACTATGCTCATCGTCAGATTCTCGAAGAGAAGGATGCCTTCGGTGGGAAAACCCTCGCACGTCGTATGTGGGAACTCGTCAGCGTCCCTCGCCTCCGCCGAGCTACAGTGGCATCGTCATGGATCGTCATCTCGCAGCAATTTTCCGGGATCAACATCATGGCATTTTACTCGTCCACCATCTTTGCTGCTGCCAACTACTCCACGAGGGACTGTCTTCTCGCTTCCATGGGCTATGGTCTCGTCATGTTTATTTTTGCCTTCCCTGCTGTTTATATGGTCGACACCTTTGGCCGCCGAAATCTGCTCCTAGTTACCTTCCCCAACATGGCATGGTGTTTGCTGGCGGCAGGGTTCAGTTTTCAGATTGACAAGGATTCTAGTGCCAGAGTTCCGCTTATCGCTTTCTTCATATACCTCTTCACTGCCATGTATGGACCTGGTAAGTTGACTTTTCTATCACCAAACTGCAGAAGCTAATTGTTCAGGCATTGGACCGCTACCTTCTATCTATTTCTCCGAAGCATTTCCACTGTCGCATAGAGAAATTGGCTCCGCCTTCACCATCTGTGTCAACAACGCGGTTGGCAGCGCATTGACCTTGACATTTCCGTCCCTTCTTGATCGTCTTGGGCCGACCGGGGCTTTCGGCTTTTACGCAGGCCTCAACGTTGTAGCCTTTATCGTGATATTCCTGATCATTCCAGAGACTAAGTAAGTAAATCATGGTGCGATTCGCTATTCTCGTCACTTACCGGAGTGCTACAGACAACGTACGTTGGAAGAACTGGACTACATTTTTGGAGTTCCTACAAGACGCCACGTCGCTTATCAATTTCGGCATTGGTTGCCTTGGTTTGTCAATAGATATATATTTCTTCAGAAGTCAGCTAAGCTTGACCCGCTCTATCAGCTGGACTAGAAGAACAGGACGAGCGGAATGAAGTAGCGAAGAATCTTGAGGGCGTAAAAGGTGGTAAAGTAGTTCTATCACTAGATGTTTCATTACTTATGTGTATTTCTGCCAATGTTTATATGTTAAGAGCTCAGCTGGCTGATTTAGTAATCACCATAGTCAGTACAGCCTCTCATCTCACAGTATCCCCAGATTCATTTGCAAGCTGTTCTGTTCCTCGACTATCCAGCATCAAAGGTTGAATCATTCGGATATATCTCCTCCAATATCTTCCTCAATTGTGGATGAGTGGTCTAGCAATAGTCTAGTGATGTACATCGTTGGGATACATTTCCTCAAGTATCTGCCAGACTCGACGTCGATTGGTGAAGCCACCGGGGACACTGAGGCCAACCTTTTCATAACTCCAGGCGCCAATTAAGTATTGCGGTGTGACTTCTGGTGGAGCCACGACCTGTCTTGTAATCTTCTCCCAATCCCCGTTTTGGACGCCAAAGTCTCCTACACTAGTCTTATCGTGAATCTCTTTGATATCAAGATCCCAAAGGAAGGGGATCTGAAATAACATCTGCTTCCACGTAGACTGGGGCATGATATAAGTACACTCCAGCGGGAGCTGATATTGATGGAGGAACGAGCAAACAATGTTCTTTAATTCTTGCGGGAGACGCTCAAAGCGTTTCTTAAAGCCACTGAGGCTTTTCGGCAATTCGCCAGAAACGTCTTTCTCGATCTTCAGGTTTGCGATCAGAAGCCTGGTTAGGTTCGGAATCTTGATCGGGTTCTCATTCCACTATGTATCAAAGTTCAGCAAATACATCTGGGGTTGTTAGGAAATGGAGTTCAGACTTACCCAGCCATCCTCATAGTCTCCAGAGAGTTGAATTTTAATGATGTGAGACGGAACAAAATATCGTCCAAGGCCAATTGAAAACGGTTGGCCCGGTAGGTTTTCAGGTATTCCAGGGGTGAAGATACCGAAAATTTCCATGCCTTTCTGTCTAGTACCACGGCGCTCGAGGGTCAGCCATAGGTCCCCAACAGACCTTAATCTGGCCTTATAAGAGTTTTTTATAGCCCGATCGGCAAGATCTTCGCAAGCTGTATGCAGACCAAGGTACATCATTCCCTCCCATTCTGAAGAGTGGCGAGACTCCTTGTTCAGATAGTAGGGGGTATGAGTATATATCTCCCTTTCCTGGGGCAGTAAAATAAGGGCACCATGATAACCGCCAGGTTTCGTAGCATGGCGAGAAACTTCATGACTGTGAACCATTAAAGAAGGAGATGACACAGATCGATGAGGCCAGTGCGGGCCAGACAATGCGATGACATCAGTATTCCAGCCCTCCGGGCGGTCAAGCGAGATGCCGCAAATTGCGCATAAGTTGAAGTCAGGGCGAAGATTCATAATCGACCTTTCAAGGGGTAAGTAATGGAGATATGTGCATGTAGAACAAGTATGCAGAGCGCCCTCAGATTCCTCTCGTGAATGTTTAGTTTTTCGAATGTTTATTGTCGGAAAGAAGTAAAGAAAATAAAAAGATTAGAAAGTGAAACCATATTCTGCTGTAATGATGGGCCAGACGTGTTATCTATACTTTATTTTTGTGCCCGAGAGCTTAGATCAGCCCAGAGAACCTTGATAAGTGTTGGCACCCTAAAGCTTAACTTTATAGCCAGCAATCGGCGACATAACTCGGGGATGAGAAAGTCAAATGCGAAAGGGCGAATCAGGGGCTCCAAAGACCCTTTTAAAGACAAATGGTCCAGCAGGAGAGCTGCGCGAGTGAATAGTGTCCTCCTTATTGATAGAGAGGTAAAAAGTATTTGTAGTATGGGACGAATCTAGTAATGGAACGAAGCCAAAAGGAAATGCTTGCAATACCCTAGTATACACTCTGAACGCCAGATCCAACTAACTGCCCCTCGTTCTGTTTCAATGATTACATGACCTTCATTCCCATAGCAGTGTTGCTAGCCATACCAGCCAATTCAAAATGCTGCACCATCTTCGCCGATCCAGATCCACCGGAGACATCGAGAACTGTGACAGCAGCCTGAGTAGTACCATTACCAGGTGAAAGAGCATAGAGAAAGTTGCCAGAAGCAGCCAGGTCGATCAGACCAGGGTCGCCGTTGCAAGTCAAGTCAAGCTCGGATACCACGCTCGCATCCTCAAGGCTCATCTCGACGACTCGGTTGCGACCGACATCTGTGACAAAAGCGGACTTGGTAGCGGGGGAGATGGCGACCCAGCAAGTGGCGGTTTGGCCTTCAACTGCGCCTTTGGCGGCGGTGGTGGCTTCGCAGCTGTTGGGATCGACATCGAGAATGGCTGCGCCGAAGGAGGCGTCTGTGGCGAAAACCTTTGATGTTCCGGGGATGACCTGTGAGCCGAAGAGAACAGCTGTTCCTTCAGGTGAACTCCGAGCATCCTTCTTGCTCACAGCCGCGACTCCGTTGTTCATCTCGACATTCGCGACGGAGATAAAGCCAGTGTTGTTCACAGCGGGGTCGCCCTTGACCATCGTGAACAGCATAGACTCATCTTCTGAGAAGAGTACTTGTGAAAGTGTGTTTGTGGGCCCGGCAGGAGGTGTTGTTTGGCCGAGATCGATCGCTCGTAGTTCGTCCATGGCACCGAGTCCTTGTCGCGAGAAGCTGCTGCAAGAAACACCGGCCTTGGCGCCAGTTGAACCAACACACACAACCCCATTCTTGGCGGAAGCAGCGACAGTGTTTGGGAACTCGCCGGGGACTTGGATTGGTTTGCCAACCATCTGTAGTTTCGTGGGGTCGGATCGTGAGACTCTAAGCATGCTGAGAGTGTTGGAGCCAGCGTTGACAGCGAAGATGTTCTACACCAGAGTTAGTAAAGGGTGATGTCATTGGTGAGGAATATTCAACTTACGTTGCCTGCGATTGTCAAAGCAGACTGGCTGATCAAGGCATCGGGTGTAGCAGGCTTGCCATCAGCATCAACAGCTACAGATCCTGCACCTCCGGTCATGGTAACTTTGCCCTTAGACAGTGTACCGTCCCGGCCAATTGGGATAGCGAGAACACCGTTCGCCTCTTCATTGGTGAGAACATAGATCGCCTTGCCCATCATAGCACTGCTGTTCATTCCGGGCTTGCATGCCGGGTGGCTGCTAGCTTCTTGTGCGAGCCAAAGTAAAGCTGGGAGAAGGAATCCTGAAGAGAACATTTTGATTGATGTGTTGGTGATGAAGTTGGTAAGAGAGTGTAGAAGAAAAATATTAAAATGCAGACCGGCTGCAGAGAATGAACGAGAGAAGAATGTTTAAGTGATTGAATGAAGATATCGAGTTTATTGAACGCGTCTAGATCTTCTTTATAGCAATCTTTCGTCCAAACTCAACATCTCCATGATCTATTTACAGGGATAAAGTCTCGACATCGAAGTAATCTGAATCTCCTCTTTAGGAAAGGCTTAATTCTTATTGCAACATAAACGGCCAAATCGAAAGTCTCAGTTGCTTAAAATGTGAAACGATGCTGAAGAACCATCCACAGTTCGGAAACAACATAATGCGACTTGGTTACCGTGCTGCCGGCTAAAGTGAAACCGGGGTGTGATGTCCCCTGTTTGGAAGTCAGATCTGTGCTTCTGGACTCCGTAATCACGATTTCCCTTTTGGAAGCACCGTAACTTCGTTTGAAGACCTTTTCCATGGTAACAACGAAGCTTGATCTCATTTCCAGTGCTCAACCGACAGTGTAGTATACTAAGATGTCGATGGGATGGATAGAGACTCTATTATCGGCGCGTAGGAAACGGGATGACAGGGATGAAAATGGGTGCACGAGCATATGGATAACCTTATCACTCAAGGTTAACACGAGTAACTGTGATCAATTTCACATTTGTGGAAACAAACTTGCTAAACTCTCCAATGATGCTATTCATTATCCTTGCAGATATCAACAATCTTTCTCGTCCATTCGGCATTCTCCTTGAGACATGATATGACAGCCCTTTGGCTAATCCCTCTCCGTGTCAGGGCTGACCGGAGTAAGACGAACCATTCCCCATTAGGAAATTCTGATATTCTCATCTTCAGTGCCCCAAAATGAGGGGACGACGCCGAAACGCCCCTGATACAAGGGTGTCACTCAGCTAGCGCTCACCAGAACCAATAGGAACAATGCTCACCCGTTGACTAATCTTGGATAAGAAACAAGAATGAAGCAGCTGAGCTGGACTCGTAGTTTTCTTCATCTTTATTGATCTTTCATCATTTTTACCTTTTTCGCGCTTCCTCCTCGCTTGCGTCAACCTCACAATGGCTGACAGAATCTTCCGAATCTTCAACCCTGGTGGTTAGTTTGAGTTTTTGCTAGCCCTTGTTCGGACGAATCACTGACGATGATCAAGAGCCCAAGGAAAATCCAGTAGAGAGGCGGAGAGCCCAACTACGACGTGCTCAACAGTAAGAAACTCTGGGGACACTGTCTTATATAACCATTGTTAACACCCCACTCTTTTAGATCCTACCGTGGACGAAAGGATAAGTACGCGAGGACGTTGGAAGAAGAGCTAGCCAAGTCCCGCTCCCGGGAAGCGGAACTCGCGCGAGAATGCGAACAACTCCGTGCAGGTCTTCAAAATGCCCTTCAGCAACTATCTCAAGGTCCCAATTCTACCGATACTGGGTTCAGAGAGATCAACTACCCGATGAATAACTACGCTACCCCATCTAGAACCACGGGGTCGTCGAGCGGCGCGTCGCCAATGTTTCTCGGTGACCCAGGCTACCAATCGGTGGACATTGTACCTTCTCCACAACTGATATCACCATCTTCATTCGGAGACTTCTCTGACCCATCCGAGGGCCATGGAGCTCCCGTCTTGTTCAATCAAGGGCACTCGAGCCATTCGCGCGTGGGTGAAGTGGATCAGATCATTGCAGGCATGGAGTTTGTTCTAAAGTATGTTCCATCAATACTCATCATCCAGTATCTGCTGACACATACTAGAATTGAAGAGCCTTGTCTAGGCCATCTCCACGGTGATCCCAAGAAGCCTGACGAGCCTGGTAACCATGCCCTGACTGCGACGGCTCAGCTCATGGCATCCTGTGGCGACACATCACATACAAATAACCCACGACTCCCTTCATCCCCCAGCTTTGGAAATACTCCATCCTCTATGTTAGAGCGCCTTTTGGCACTGGCACCTGACTTGTCCAATGAGGATGAGATGACGCCGATCCAGGCCTGGAATGATATCCGGTGTCGGCCAAACTTTGGTGGGTTTAGTACGAGCAGCTTGGGTAACCTTGCGGCGAAATTGATGAAGGCTGCGAAATGCCACGGGTAAGTTCAATCTTTCAGTTCCAGTGTTCTGAGATAACTAACAAAGGACAGATTTGGCGCTGCGATCAAGCGATCTGTTTTTGAGGGACTAGTCTACGAGACCCTTGTTACTGGACAAACCTTTTAGTCCCTGGTTTAGACTACAGTGTCATATTTACCCTTTGTGTTCAAAACCTTTGTGACTCATTCAGGGAAGCTTTATTTAACTGAAAACCTAATCTTGTTATCGACCGAATCTCCGACAGGCAGTCATCAGGGATATCTAACTTTTCGGCTAAAAGCAAGAGCCTAGGTGAGAGCGAGGGCGGAGAGTATTTTGCCCGTATGTGTTTATTGGTGTCCTTTATCTTTATGCCCTGGTATCTGAAGCCTCTTTTAGAAACCTAACCTTACGCCAGTATCATATTTACATTCTCGTTGAGTCTGTTCTTGCATGCCTGGGAACGTCCTTTCATATGTGCATATTGTTCGCAACTTGGGCATGCGAACATGCTGCCTCTGTTCTTGCAGCTGCTGTAGATAACGGCGGCCTATAAGGTTAGGCTTTAGGCTGCGAATATAGATAATAAATGATAATACGATATTTTCCCCCCGAATATAAGCTTTTACCTAGAAGCTTTTACAATAACTCATAAATCTTATTGTAAGCTACCTAGGACATTATATAAGAAGAGACCAAGAGGTATAAAAAGGGACACAAGCTTAAGTTTGCATTTCTGCACACACGCCATAATCTTGCAGCTGCTCAACAGCTGTTCAGGCAACAACCTGCGGTCTTAATTGTTTGACTCTTAGTTCTGTCTCACCACGTGGCTATGGTTCACCAGTGGCTCTGAACCTCAAAGCGCCAAGTTCAGCTGTACAGATGCCATTCTCCGAGTGACAGTGGCAACGCGAATCTAGGTATTTAATCATTTCCAGTCGCCGCGACGTTTCTCAGCAAACTCTCCATCAAAGACTTCTTCGATACCTCAGACAAGAAATATCTTTTCGGGAAGAAACAACTTGCATAAACCTTTATTCAGATTCATTATACGACTTAATTTCACATTCGTGGCTTGTCGCTGCAACCCATACCCTTACTGTAAATTTACCATGGACGACTTGATGGCATTGGCTACTTTGGATGGCTTGCTTACTGAACGGACTGCCTTGCTGAACCGCTTGGCAGAAATCAACGTCAACATCGCGACTCAGGTGGCAGCTGTTCGTGAGGCAGCTGGAGGGGATGAAGTCTTCGCGAATGCTGATACAGTCGATCCGCCCCCGTCTCCTAGAGGTGACGCCGATAACGAAGACAACGCAAACGACAATAACGATATCGACGATGACCTCCAAATTGCATTCGACTTCGAAGGTGGGTTTGGTGGGATGATGGAGCCGATACTTCCTGAGGGACCAGGCTCTCTGGAGACTACATCCTCGCCAGACGCAGAGATTATCCCCTCGACACCGTTCCAACCTTCCAAGTTATCACTTCGTGACCCCACGTCTATTGCATCTTGGCAAGGCCGGCCCATTGACTCCCGATTCAAGCCTGACCAGTGGCTGTCTGAGAAGCCCAGCGAGTCCTTCTCACGAGACTTCCTCTGGAGGATTGGTAGAGCCCGCTTAGACAACACCCTGCGTCCCGAGATTTTTGTCCTCATGCTCGCCCATCCCAACGCTGCGGGATGCCCTGCCAACAAAACTTGCCACCACTGGGAGTTGCGCTGGGATGATAGACCCCGAAGAGAGCCTGGAACCATTGAGCTGGAGCTGATCTGCCTTGATAAGCGTGACCGCGGAGATTATATTTCTCCCTCCGGCGAGGCGTTCCATATGCTTGACCAGCATCATCCTAAACCCATCAAATGCAATCCATGCTTCTTGTTCCATGGTCTGAAGCCTGACTTCAGCAGTCTGGATGGGACTAATCTTGATGTGGTTTTGTTTCGACTGCTTGAGCCTAATGACGGCGACGATGATGATCCCGTTGAGGGGCGGGACGAATCCGAAGGCAATAATCTTGATCATCCGTTTGAGAAGATTGGATGGACAGAAGTCCATAAGTACATGGATCGCTGGGGTCGTCAGCTCGCAACTTTGTTGCGTGAGTGAACGATCGACTGATATCCGACAAGCCCACTCCCAAGCGACGGTTGGATACTGGAGGATAGGCTATGAGACAATGATTCGTATAGGCAGCAGTATGATCCTGTGAGTGGCTATCGTTGGTCAGAATGGGTTTGATGGAGTGAAAAGGATCATCATGGGAGAGCTACTTGTGTTCTTTGAGGATGGACTAACATGTGGAATGCGCCTTTTACCATTGATCATAAACTGAACAGAGGTCATATTGATGATAGTTCCCCTCAGGTATAAAATATTCGACATGTTATGTGTAGCAAAGTATCAACTACCATGGTGTATTTTTTAGTGACGAGTGCTAATACTTAGATCGTTCCATTCGAAAGACACTTTTCCATTAGATTAGCAAAGACCAGTTTCCACAACTCTTATGCTATTGATATCTTCGTAGAGACATTCCATCTAGACCACAGGAAGCTACCAGAGAATTGGGTGGTCAACTTGTTCGAGAAGACCTACAAGGTTGAGACCCCGGTATTTTGGCCTTACATCTCGCTCCCAGGCCTCGAACAAAATTCTCAAGGCACGGACGGATATTTCCGCCCTGGCTCGAACAGGCATTCTTCACGTGATTTGGCCGCTTGAGCTTGTATTTCACACCAAGGCTAAGTCTCTTCGCAAGCCGAGGTTCTTAGTGTCATCGCTCCCGAGTCTTGCTTGCCCCGTCCATATAATTTCATGTTTTTGCGTTATTCCCAGGCCTGCATTTACAAACTCCTCACTTCAATCATATCTTCTCACTCACTTTGTTTGTCGCGGGTATCCTCGTAACACTTCACCGCGATCTAGGAAGACAATTCATGCATCACGTCTCCAAGCAGGTGGTATACGTGCGGATCAGTGGCATGGGTGTTGCGACGAAATGATTTCATCGTATTGTTCCTAACCTGGCCATCCTGGTTGGCTCTGAGGCCACGGCTGACTCGCATTTCCAGTCTTTGCTTCCCGCCCCTGCCAATCTTCTACACCCAAGCCGCCTTGCCTTCACTAGATTGGCGAAAGAAGCTTTGATGCCTACGAAGTTCGTTTCAAAAGTCCGGGGTTGGTTTAACAAGATCTGCTAGATATATCACAAGAATACTGATATTAGAATTGAATAATAGAAAGAATTATAGAATTGTTTTGTTTCTTTCTGACAGCGCTTGGCACTTGCCGCTGTTGACCTCGCCATCGTAGTACTACTCCCATGCAGAACCAAGTCCAGATTCAGCCACGCCATGCCATGCAGGTATACAGAGTGGCCTGATATTTCATCAAAAATGAAGCTGGTAAAGCCAGGGCGTGGCAATCTTGATTCATGTCTTCATGAAGCCACTGGGCTTTGTCCAGTCGGTGGCGTAAATATCGAGTTGTGTCCTCTCATTTCCTATTGATTCAGGTACGAGACAGCAACACACGTTCATCCTAGGGGTTCAACGCTACTCTACGGGCAGATGATTAGCGAGTCCGGTATATCAGTAATCGGAATCCTTTGATGCGGTCAACGAATATGAAACCTTAAGAGACATTGCCGAGGTATCCACAGCATTGGCCATCACACTAGACGTGAAACTCGTTCTTGCAGGCGTCGACATATTTGCCGTGATTATAGAAGAATTTCGGAGAATGGCTCGGGTGTTTCCCACTCCGCATTGGTGTTGCATATGTCTCTTGTCGGCTTACTTGGTCATTGGTAGAACCTTAAAAGCTTTCCCGACGGGAAGCATACCCGGACCCTGGCAACAGCCTTCCCGGGACATGACTCGGGAATTTGAGTAATCAATTAGTCGCTGCGCGATTGGATGCCCTTATTGTGTTGGTGTGAGGCTTGATCATATGAGCAGGTGAAAAGCCTATGGGATACTGTATGGAGTGGACATGCGACCTCTTTTGATAAGATGTCATTTTTATGAGACTCGCGTATCGCGCTTCTAGATTGTATTCATTAGCTCGGCAGACATGTGGGATAACAATGGGATAAATAATCGATGAGTACGTGAGGCGCCGCCATGAGCCCTGGTCCTTGAGGCTTGAGAAAGTATAAGTCGAACGATATTTGGCGACGAGAGACTTGCTATGTATGCAACGTTGCTGAATCTTCATCTGAAATGAGGACCAGGGTGACACTGAAAATGCATCACCAACTTTTCTCTGGTGTAGAGGATCACCCAGAGAAACTAGTCTAGGCGATCTGAGGGTCAACTCATGAGTGCACGTGCGGCATTGCCAAGATTGAGGCTACGATGCCGTCGGGCTCTCATGGGTCGGGCCGTAACTAGCAACTCAGTACACGGGCTAGCATCAATAGCGACTCCCTCAGAGTAGCGAGTCTGTGGAATCGGCTTGCTGTCCGCGCTATGAAGCCTTTAACTTCGCAGGGAGTAAGGATCTAGGTGCATCAGCTTCATGCAACATGAAAACAAAGTGCATTGTTGTGAAGTATCATGTGGCGGAAAACAACATCCGAAAACGAAGAGACCGAAAGGACAGCAGTTCTCAAGTCGGCCTTCGGCACTTCATGAACATCCATGAAAACATTCACTGGTGGAGCATAAATACGTGAAGGTGAACCCAAGTTGGACTCTGAATCATCAACTCAAGTAAACATCACATCTTCAGAGCTTTCAGAGAATCAATTCCAGTGACCGCAGACATTAATCATGAGTCTCGCACATCTTTACAAGTCTTCACTCACAAGACCTTCCTTGCCTTCTCTCATCACCCATTCCATAATGGTCCGCAAGATGGCCTCAGCTACTGCTGCTGTTGCTCCCGCACCGCAGTCTCATATCCCTACCACCCTCAATGCCTCCGGTCCTCCCCCTGGACACTGTGTCACAGTCGGGAACCTCCAGACCTTCATCTTACCTGACAAAGTCTCTGACACTGAAGAAAACCATAAGCTAGGCGAAGCCCTCGTCGACGCCTGGCAGAAGGACGGCATATTGCAGATAAGCATGACACCCGAGCAGCACTCACTCTACAAAAGTGCCAACTACGCTAGTAAACGCTTCTTCGGCAAGCCTTATGCTCAAAAGGCTGCTTGCGTTGACAGTCAGACTTACTCTGGCTACATTGCCAGTGGTGAAGAGCTGACTGACGGTATTGCTGACTACAGTGAGATTTTCACGGTTACTAAAGACCTTGAGCTTGATGAGCCGAGAGTCGTGGCAAAGTGGCCCTGTCATGGTCGGTGCCCTTGGCCTGATCATGAGATGCAGAACCCCATGCAGCGTTACATGCAAAGTCTGGGGGGCGTTGGGGAAACGCTCTTGCAGCTCACTGAACTGGGGCTTGGTGTTCCTGAAGGATCACTTACCAACTACACACAAGATGGATGGCATCATCTGAGAATCCTTCGGCAAGTATTCGATAGAACTGATGCTTTCTTTTTACTGTTACTAGCTACAGTCAAATAGCTTCCCAGCCATTAACAAGACTAATGGCAAGGGCAAAGAAGGAAGAGGAATCGGATCTCACACTGACTACGGACTTCTCGTCATTGCCGCAGCTGATGATGTCGGAGGCAAGTACTTCACGCATCTCTCGCTGATAGCCCGTGACTTACCGGTTGTTTCAAGCTCTAATGATCCGTCCTCCATACAGCGATGAAAAGCTCGCCAACTGGGAGGTAAGTGCCGCTGGCTTCAAAGAGGACGATGAAAGATGGGTCTTCGTTCCCCCTGCCGAGAATGTCTTCACCGTCTTCCCAGGCAAGTTTGCCCTCCCAGCATAAACGAACCTTGCTAATCTTCTTTTGGTTTAGGTGACATGATGCAGTACATCACCAACTCAGCCCTTCCCTCAACCCGTCATAAAGTCGGGCTCAATCTCAGAGAGAGGTTTGCCTTTGCTTACTTCCATGAACCAAGCTTCTAGGCAGTTGTGAAGCCTCTGCCCGGCTATGATGTCGGCCAAGAACCGAAGCATGGAATCCACTATGGCAAGCACTTCACTAATATGTTTATGAGAAACTATCCTCAGCGTATTACCACCCAAAGGTTGAATGACGAGGGTCGCTATAGGCTTCTAGAGCAGGAGAGCCTTCAGACCATGGCTCCTTGAGATCAGATTTGGATATTTGAATTATATTAGCTATTATGAACTGGGCAAGAAAGACAGAAGTGATAGTCCTGATAACAATTCCGTGATTTAGTCATGAATAAGTCGGCAGGTTGTCTGGTGGCTTTCTCGTCCCTGAAAATTTATCGTTGAGCACCCGCCATACCATGTACATGATCCTTTACGAACTCATCCTTACCACTCGATGTCGTTGCCGTCGTCCTCGTGTTCACCTTCGTTACCAATTCCTCCATGTACCCTCCCCATATGCTGATAACAATCGTCCCCATGTGTAAAGGTCTTCAAGCAGAGCCAGCAAATATGCGTCCCGCAGGCCGTGCAATTGATGTGATTGCAGCCTTCATCCTTCTGTATGTGCGTGTTGCATTTCGGACAATCTTTGAACCCCAGCTCTTCCTTTGCTTTGAGAAGCTCTGCCATGCCTCCAGACTCATTGCCCTTGTATTCCGCGCAAGTCTTTCTCGGATGCGAGACATGGCAGCTTGTGCATGTTGCCGTCATGCATTTAGCGCAGGTAAAAATTGGTGGGACGCTTGTCTCTGGCTGGGCAATGCGGTAAACCTGGGTACATTCTGGCGTTGGACAGTAGCGCAGCTGGTCTTGGTGTCGGCGCATAAAGGATGCGAACGAGGCCTCCAAGACACTTTCAAATATCTCTGAAAGAAGCAGATTCTGGATCTCATGTAGTGGAATGGCCTTCTTACAGTTCCCTTGATCTCCAATGCATTTTATAGAGAAGTCGCCGCTCGTGGATGCTTCTACCTGGCACATATTAACAAAGCAAATCGTGCAGTAGACATGGCCGCAAGAAGTTTCGAGTGCTTGGTCGGCTGCGCAGAAACAGACTGCACAGTCACCTTCAGCAGCCTTTCCGGTCTGTGATTGCTCAGTATTATGTCCCGCTGATCGAGGCTCAAGCTCTTGCAAAAGCTGGTCAAGTGCTTCGCATGCTGGCACAATTTTATCTTCCGGGCCGAAAACTCTGAATTTGGAGGATTTGATGTCGCGGATAATAACGACTCCAAGGCTCCGTTCGATCTCTTGAAGCCTCCTGTATGCTCCCCTATCGGCTTTGAAATCGGGAGACCATAGATTCTTCCCATTCAATGTCATTGTTGTTCCATTGGTGATTTTTCAAGGGCCTCTTTTGCTTGCGTAAAGGGTTCGCGATCCTGGCTCTCGAGCTTCAGAACCCAGTAGCCAATCTCAGGAATCGAGGAAAAATTAACGAATTGCCGTTCCCAGTCTTTTCGCAGCGATTCGATGCTGTCGTCAACAACGGCATAAACACGACTCGAAAGCCTAAACTTGACCAGATGCACGTGCTGAAGGTAGAGTTTTCCTGATGGGTTGAACGGCAGCCAAGTCTCGTTCAGCTGCGCGACGGCATCTAGGGCTTCGGATTCCTCGATGAACCGCGCTTGTGCCTTGACCCTTCTCGTTGTGGGACTCCCAAACACTTCCCATTGTTCCAAGGCTCCTACATCGTAGAGCAAGGATTTTATGATAGTCGAGTCAATATCCGAGTCTGTCTCGTAACTTGGATCACCCATCTCAACTTCATAGGGTGCTCCAGATGAAGGAAAGGTGTTGATGATATCCTCCGGAGGGATAGTAGCCACCAAACCTTCCAACTCCATGTGCCACGGCCCATCCTTTTCTGTAGCATCCGCTGCGGCGGGAATTTTAGCTGTGACTGGCAAGCCAGCGATTTTGAGTTGCTGGTTTTTGAGCTTGTAGTACGACTCGAATGCTTCTGCTGGGTTCCTGAACGAAAGAGTGGCGTTTCTTGTCGGTCTGTGCCATGAGCAGCGGACATTTCTGCTGTCGACAAGACCAAACGATGATCCATCTGGTAAAGGAACGGGGATGTGGGTGACTTCCAAGTCAGGTGCTTGAATACAGGTGCGAAGTTTCCAGCAGGCGGACTTTGCAAACTCTGGGTCTTTGACTCTGACAATGGCCATCCCATTTCGATTCTTCACCAGCTTGATGAAATTGATGTCGCTTATGGATACGCTAATGCCTACATCCGCCAACAGTTCTTGCACCGATCGCGCCGACGATCCCGGGGGCAGATGGCGCATTTGAATAGCGGAAAAGTCTGAGAGAAGAGTGACGTTGGTGACAGCCGCTCCATCTCCAAATTCGACCCAAGCACCTCCTATCTCACGAGTCCACTGTTCGGTATGCTTTGAAATGTGATTAGCTATTGGATTTCTCGCATCACTGTGGTATAACAGCCAGCTTACCTTGGGCTCCTCCATCCACTCGGTATTGGGCTGATCGTGAGCATACCTGCAGGTAGCTCCTCTCTTACAGAATCCTTTGGCGAAGAAGCGACATGGTTCCCGAACAGGACCAGGCCCTTCATGAGAAAAGCGACAGGCCTCGCCGAGAGTGCATCTGCCCTGAGCGTAGTACCTGCAAGGTTCTCTCTGACGACGGTCTGGTCGTCGGGTCCGGGCTACTGGTCCATCATGAGCAAAGCGACAGTTTTCACCGTGAATACAGAAACCCTGGGTGTAGAATCTACAAGGCGGTCTGACGCGATGCTCCGGGCGCCTCCGCCGACGGTTTTGTTCTCGAAGTGCGTTGGCTAGCGTTTGAGTCTCGTGATCTTCGAGGCGTAGTTGATGGAAGAGCCGCGGAAATTCATCTTCGGGGGCAGCAGGACGCTCGAAAATGTTGCCCATGTTTGGAGATATGGATTGTTGTCTCGTTCAGAGTCTTTGTGATCAAATGGAAATTGTCGGCGTCATTGAATAAGAAATTACGGTGGCGTTGGGGTGAATGTCAAAGCAAATATTAAGTTACACAAACCAATTCGGAGATACTGCGGTTAACGGCAGAACACAAGCTCAAGGTTTACACGGCGTTCAATGAAGGATTAAAAGTGACGGATGAAATGATTCGGAGTGAAGATGGAATGCTTTGATTTGGTGTTTGATATTGAGATTGTTCGGACGATGCAGGAGGCCGATTGTTTCACTGAACGCGTGACGCGTGTTTGTGACACAGTCAATGAAATGCTGATCTGCAAACTTAACCCCGCAGATAAGATGATGCAGCAACAACATGCGTGTTCATCTCGTTTCATGGTTGATGCCAACTCTGATGCAGCGTTTGGGCATGCTTGCGGCAAAGAATTGGGTTATGCCACGCATTTGGATGAGGTGGCAGTGAGTGGTTAAGTGTCTACGAGTGCCCAAGCTCAACAAGCCTAAAGGCGGTGAAGCCTTTGCCACATCATGTGTTGGCAGCTGGAAGTCGAGAGAATACTTGGGCAAGACATATTTGACGGGGTCAATGAGTGACTGAAAGTGTATGGTAGAGTGATCGCCTAATATTGTCGCGAATCTGATAGTCCCGGTTATTTTGCTCACCGCTCAATCCAGGCTGGGTCAGCGGGTCTTGATCCTCTCTGACTGGCTGCACTCGGTCCAAAAAGGGGGGCGAGGCATGTGCCTGACATATTTCTCGCTTAGGTAATGGTGATCCGGGTTGTTGGATAATTCTTAGCTTTGAATCTACCTGAGATACCTTTAAACCCGCGATCTGCAACGAACCAGTCAAGTCAAGTCAAGTCAAGCAAGCAAGCTCACTACTACTGTACCTGCACTAGGTACCTGTCCTCTTCTCTCTTCTCTTCTGCCCTCCAAGGGACATCCCGGCCTCGCCTCGCTGACTGCTCACCTCAGAGCCTCAACGGTCGCTCAGACCATACCCCAACAGCCCAGCCCCGCACCTCGGCGCAGCAGAGCAGAGCAGAGCAAAAAACCACATCGCAACATGGGCTCCAAGAAGCGCAGCTCGGCCTCAGGTGAGACTGGCAACGCCACTGATGCTTCTTCCTCTCGAAGCGGGCAACCATCCCGCAGCCTCAGAAGGAGAGCCGGCGACATTGTGAGCAGCCTCAATCCGGTGGGAGCGGGCAAGGGCCCTGATGTCATGCAGCAGCTCGCTGAGATTCCCTTCAACGCCGAGGCCTTCCTCCAGGCGAAAGCTGCTCAGGCCAAGACGCTGGATGCCGAGGCCAGTGAGACCGGTGAGGGCGAGGATGTCGTCGAGGTTGAGTATGAGGGCACTCGTCCGTACGTTCCCACGGTTCACGCTCATCTCAAGGGCGTTGACAAGGTCTGTCGAAACGGGGAATGGTCGAAACCACTTCAACGCTTCTTGACGAGACTTCAGCTCGGTTCAAACAATCTCAGCGTCATTTATGACTCAGATCTTGAAAATGTGGGGATCGAACCTCCCGAGGAGACCGAGTCTTGGGTCGAACAGAGTGAGCCCTCCAAATTCGCAGGCCACGTCTACAGATTCCTTGGCCGTCAGTGTCGATCCGCCTCTTCAGATCGCCATCTCTATGTCCTCTATCACCCCGATGCCGAATGGCATACCGACTTCTACGAACTCCTGCAGGACAAGCCTCTGCCCAGCAATTTCCTCGGCTTCTCCGACAATCTTGATGCCCTCGTGGCTTTTGTGAGGTTCATCCGAAAGCGCCTCGGAAAGCGCGCCAACAACGCCATGTTCCACCTGCTCATCCCCTCATCCCGCCCCATGTCCATCCGAGACGCTCTTGAGTTCCCAGATTTGGGCGATCTGGTCATTCACGGTGAGACCCACGGTGGCAACAACTACGTTTGGGTCAATCTACCCACTTCCGACGACTACCCCGCAAACCTGCTTCTGAAGCATGTTGAGAACGCCGTCCGCGGTGAGAGCGAATGGAAGACGACAGCGACAGTCAGCACAGCCATAGGAGGATTAACGGCATCACTGGCTGGCGCGGCTTTCACCCTCAGAGTCAAGGGAGCGCCCTTCCCATCCCTCAAGACCTTCGGAATCGGAGCAGTCTGTACCACCATAGCCGCCCGAATCAGAGGCGCAGAGTACCTCCCCCTAGCAGTCCTCGGCATCGGCGGACTGTGCACCACGATAGCAGCATTGCAAGTAAACCGAGGCCTGAGCAAGCGCATCCCCAGACTCATCGGCGGCACCGACACACCCAAGGAGCCCAAGGCCGAGCCCGAGAAGGAAGATTCGGCAGCCAGCGAGCAGGACGAGAGCAGGGACGAAACCCCCCACGAATCAGATGTCCTCCCCGAGCCAGAGCCGCCAGTTGTTCCAGAGGAGCCATCCAAGATCAAAGACGACTCGGACGCTCTTTCTTTCGTCAGCAAGGCATCCAGCACGAGCAAGTCTTCAAGCAGCAAGAAGCATCGACGCAGTGAACGTAGTGAGCGAAGTGAGCGCAAGCGTAGGGATAAATGAAGCATGGAAAAACTATAAGGTTGGAAAGACAGAACAAAGTACAAAGTACACTGACAGACAGCTGGACTTTTGATGGTGTATTTTTTGTTTTTCGATTTGAATACGCTTCGAGTGCTGGTTTTTTTGCTCAGTCTTTGGTTTTCATGAGTTAGAAAAACGTACAAAAGTAGAAAATATAAATTGCAGACCTCTACTTGAAACGAGGCTGTTGTGTTCAAATTATCATTTTCCAACATGTTGACCAGCATTTGATCCCCTTACTTTGCTTGAAGATAGCCAGAGCTAAGTGATATGAGACTCGAGACTAGATTGAGGATTTTTGAGCATGATGTTTGCAAAATGTTCTATTCTCTGTTTTTTTTATTAACCTTTAATCATTTACTGCTTATCTATCTAGCATGGAATGGGTTGTTTATTGGCATTAACTTGAGATAAACCTGGCTGTTATAGGGTAGTCAGTCTAGCGGAAGAAAGGGCCAAAATTACCGAGGTTTTGTCGCATCTGATCATGCACTTTTCTAATTTTAGCAGATTTCTTACGGCTCGTCCAATTAGGGCTTAGCTATCTTTAGCCATATCCACTTCGAATGCAGCATCCCACTAACCCGAAGGAAGAGCCTCTCGAGATGCAGGATCATGATATCGGTCCCAGAATAAACTAGCCGAGATACGAGTGACGACTAGATACAGATGAGTCCATAGCTAGTGTTCGTTGGTGTATCAGCTATGGGATGCCCTGTGGCTTATAAGGTTAAGTTTCAGGCTGCGAACACAGGGTAACATCGAACCTCTTTGAGACCAAGAGAATGCAATACACAACACAAACAACAAACCAATCCATCTACCAAAGCTCGCAAACAGGCTTCTTCCGAGGACAGTTGAACGCACGTTGGAAATCAGCAGAGTTCTCCATCGGCAACAAAATCCTAGCCTGCCGAGGACTGTGGGTATCCGTCAACTGAGCAATGACCTCCGCCGGTTTCATGTTGGCACACCAAGACTGACCCCACTTGACAAAGAACAGCTGCTCATGCGTGAAGTGACCGAGTCTAGGCAGATCTTGAGCTTTTCCATTGTCCTTCTCCCATTTCTTCCAAGCCGCAAAGCTAGAGACAACACCACCTGCGTCTGCAATATTCTCATTCACCGTAAGCTTTCCATCGACCCGCCACTTTTGTCCATAGGGGCCGGTGACGGTAAATTTGTCGTATTGCTTGACAAAGCAATCACTGGACTTCTCGAATCCTCTCATGGACTTTTTATCGAGCCATTCGCTCACCTTGCCCGTTTTGTCATACTGATGGCCCCTGTTATCGAAACCATGCGTGATTTCATGCCCAACAATACTTCCCATGCCGCCGAAGGTAATGTATGCGGGATAGCCGACATGGTAGATGGGAGATTGCTGTATGCCCGCAAGGAATATTATGGCATTTTGTGCGGGGGAATGGAAAGCGCTGGTGGTCAGAGCACCGAAGAGGAACTTCTTTCGATCGACAGGCTTATCAAGAGATGCCCAGTTCTTGGCAACCCGAGACTTTGCGAAGGCGAGAGCATTGAGGAGCAAAGAATGGGTAATCTCGATATCAGAATAGAACTTCTTCAAGAGCTTTGCGTCAGTGACATGGGGCGAGGCAGGTAAGCCAATCTTCCTCGCCATAGCGCGAACTTTCTCAACAGCAATCTTCTTGACCTTATCAGTAGCCCAAGCTCTGGTTCCAATGCGCTCGATAAAAGCCTCCTCCAGATTGTCAATGATCTGAGATGTTAAATTCTTAGTATCTGGAGTAAAGTGCTTATCGGCGAAGAATCGGGCAAGAATCCAACTCAGACCGGTAGGACCGACACTCCAAGCAGCGAATTGGTCTCCAGCAATCCAGTCGACCCCTCTGTCGAGAAGAGATACGCATCGCCGCCAGCGAGGTGCAGGGCTGCGGGGATCCTTGCCTTGGTGCTTTCTCTTCCACGTGTTGTAAGCCGCTGTCTCTGGCGAGTCGACGTAAGTGGAAACAGCAGCGATGGCTTTCCAAAGGAAGTAAGTTTGGATGACCGCGGGTGGCATCTGGGAGAACATTTGCGAGGTTTTGTAGTATAGCTCTGGGGCCCAGATCATGATCTTGGAATCGTCGTATCCTGCAGGCGCCAACTGATCAACGACGTACTTGAAGTTCAGCTGTGGAGCGAGTTTCTGGATATCATTGATAGACATGTATGTCTCGTTAGGAATTTGTTTCTGATCCGCCTTCTTTGGAGCGGTAGCCGGTTTGATCGAGAGCTGGAGGGCGACGACGGACTGCATCAAAGTCTGAGCCTGGCCTCTGGTCAGTTTGGCAGGATGAACAGAGTAAATGAGCTCGCTCGCAATCTGAATGAACCCAGGCATATCATTAGGAGTGGATGGAAGACTAGCATCAGTGGGTGGCAGGATGGCAAGGGCCATCTTGTCGGGGTTGCTAGGCTCTGGGAACTGCAAGAACCTCTGTGTCGTCTCGATGCCCAGGCTTTCAAACAACGCCATAAGTTGACCGATTCCTTTTGAGTGATTGTACACCGTTCCTTTCTTTCCGCTGCCGGAAGCAGGGAATGTCGTGACAATAGTCTTGGCCAGTTGTCGAAGTTGGCTAAGACCCTCTTCTTGTTGGGCAGTTGTATTCATGCAGACTTGGTAAGCTTCCTGGAGCTTGAAAAAATTCTGTTTATCAGCCTTGATCTCGTCTTTAGTGAGATTGACTGTTATCCAGCCGGCGTCAGGGCCAGAAGGGTAGGGACTTTCGAGGATGCGCCGAGCGAGATCGTAAACATGCAATTGGGTGGCTCCAATAGCATCGGCAAACATGTTGCCTGCGGGGATCGGGTTGCGCTTTGCCCAGTTGCCGCAGACGACTATGAATTCATTAACTTACACATACCTCGTGAATAGAGGGTAAGAGAAAGACATACGCTGATCGAAGTTGGTGCATGGATCAATCTTTGTATGATTTGTAGCCATGCCGACCAGGATGTCATTCGCAATCTCGATACATGCTGGAGTCGTGCAGATGCTGTTGGCACCGTAGCCAGAGGACCCGCGAGGTAGAATCCCCATACCGAGATAGCGAATAATGCGAAAATCGTCTGAGAGGAATGGAACAAAAGACACGAGAAGAGAGTACTAACACAGCTCTGAGTGGGCCGGTAGACCAAAAAGCATGAATTGCATTGAGTTAAACAGCTGTTCTTATATGTATTCAGAGTTCTTCTAGGCGTCAAACATAATCATCATGAGACAGCCTTGTAAAGTTTATCTGAAGTGATAATGTTAGGTAGCTATACTGCCTGGACTGAAGTGTTATTTTAAGTTGACAGACCCACAGCTGATAGTTCACATCACGCGCCTCGCACGCTGTTATATACATCAAAGCCTCAAACCTGTCCCCAAGGCTGTGTAAGGTTCCAAAAATCAAGCCCATACGTTCGTAAGATGTAAATCCCCTTCCATTGACCATCTCACCCGTGCTGATAGACGTGGCGCATACGAGACCAGTGTAACAGTGGTCCAAGGTCCCGTTATAACGGCGATCGAAAAAAACAGCCAAATGCAGAGTAGCAAAAGTTCAGCGAAATTTGCTGCGGTCATCGTTTCTGGGACTTGAGGAATACATGCTTCTTGGCGGCGCCTCTTTCTAGTTGTAGGCGCTTGTGCAAGAGTCTGGGTGGGGGATAAATTACTAATAATTCCATTAATCTTTTGGTCAGTCGGTTCTGTAATCTCTATACTTAATACGATGATATGGCTTGCAATGAGTGTTGATTGAGGTAGGCTGCTTTGGATCGCTCAATGGAGATCGTGGGGAATGAGGATAGCACCATCAGGTGACGGACACGAGAGGGGTAGAATGGTTTTATGCCTAGGTTGAGCTCGTCACTGATGCAACCTTTGAGGCTGAGCCAGGTAATAAACGGAGTAAGCATAAATGCAAATACTCGGGCTTGTAATACGCATATTGCTGAGATTCGTTACTGACGAGCCGGCCCGGGCTATGACTCGTTGGGGACCAGTAGCTCGTTCAGCATGACTCAAGCAGGAATCCACAATATTGAAAGGGAATTATGGGTACGATGATTTTCTTTCTCTTAATTGAACTGTGATCTATTGCTGATTCTTTCTAAAGATACAGAGCTAGGACTCGGCCTTATGAGGTGATCTGATAAACACTTCGTTGAGTAATGTGCTGTTGAGTGATAACAGTTGGGACTGTTTCGTTAAAGTCGTCACGGACTTGACGTATTTAGGACAGGTTAGATTCTCGACATAGGACTTTTATCACGGAGTTGTATCCATGATGCAATTTTAGTAGACAAAATAGGAAATATTTAAACGCGGGATCGTCGTCGTCCTCATTTCGTGTACAACTCAGCCTCATTTATCTTGACAAGTGAGTCTAACCCAATCTAGTAGTAACTGAACGCACCCAACTATGCAACATGTTTCAGCTTCACAGTATAAAGACAGAGCAATGCCATGTCCAAGGAATGAATTTCAGATCACACTCGTTCGGAAAACATCTCTTACCTGACCACCACTCTTTCAAAATGCAGACCTTCAACATTCTTTTCATCACTCTTGCTACTGCAGTAGCTGGAGTAACCTCTTCTACCTGCGCTCCCTTCCCTGCCTCAATGACTCCGTTCTCTTATGGCTTCAAGGAGCCCAAGCCGCCTGCGATCAAGCCAGAGTACCAAGCTCACTTCGTACAGCACAAGTGGTCAGCCAACCTACCAGAATTCAACCTTCTCTGCATCTTACTCACCCAAACTCAGGAATGGTGAACTCTCACATATCACAGCTGGCTTCATCCAGAACTCCCCGGCTAAGGGCTTTGTCCGAGCTGACGAAGCCTTTGACGGTGTTCTTGCCTCTTCGACTTTTGACTATTCCAACGTCACTAAGTCGGGCTTGGTTGACAACACCCTGACTACCTATGATCCCAAGAAGTCCAAGCCAAGTATCTGGAGAGGATACGTAAACTCAAATTATCCTATTCTCAATAAGACTGTCTTGATTGACAATGGAGCTGTCTTTGAGGGCTTTGTGAAAAGAGATTTCACTCCGACTCCTGTTGCAGCAGTAAGCTTTTCATACCCGCCGGAAGAGTGATTGCTGACTTTTCATTCTAGTGGAGCATCATGTACCAAAATGCAATTCCCGTTACAGTCTTTGTCAATGAGTGTGGTGTCATTGTTGGTTACGATTACTTTGCGCCGGAGCTTCGTACCCGGGTCATCATGGAGTTCTTCAACATTCAGGCCAAGTAAGCCATTGAGTGTAATTGGTGGGGTTTTTCGCCGCGATGAGGTTTTCCCCAAGTATTCGAATTCTTAGAGTAAATGTCCAGTCTAGTAATACGCCGTTTTGATCTTATAATGGATGGTTAGTCGAGATATATGACATCTTCTGGTTTCAATTTCTCAGAACCTATATCAACACGTCAGGTTGAACCCCCTCTTTAGTGTTCAAGTATTGATACTCCCATAGCTCTACTAAATCAACCTTGATCCTCCCTGACGCGACAAATCCTTTTTGTGAGATTAAATCTAGTAGCCTTATGATCTCCTTCCTCTCTTGGGAATTAACAGAATTCGCACCCGCCATTCGTAGTAGAAATATCGCCAACACTCCGGCAATGCGAGAGTTTTCAAGGATCTCCGTGCAATAAGAAATCACACTGGCGACATGAGTATCTATGTCCTTGGGAGTGAGAACAGGGATAACTCTCGAGTTCCAGCAGTCATAAAAAGTGAAGTTCCTGCAGAGAAATAGTTGAAGAGCATGGTAATTTGCCAACGCGAGCTTTTCATACGGCCCAGATGATTTGATCGATGCATTGTACTGGCAATACCAAGACTGAAGTTCGTATTGGTAAAGACAGCTTTGTGTGGCCAGTAGGTCTAGGTCCGGATGATCGTGTCGTTGATCTTCTGAAATTGACTCTATTTGGTCGAAAAAACTGGAAATTGGTGAATACTAGCGTAGTCATCCATGCGATATCAGGACTAACCTTTTACTGAATGAAGAGATATTGGCCATCAAGTTAAGAATTTCGTCCAGTGGACGTAATGATGTTGTGCCATGTTGGTCCATGCACAGATAGTCGGACAGTACAGTATCTCCGCCGTAGAGAATTGCTCGGTTCACCTCTAACAGCCGAAACATCTCAAAAGACTGACTGCCGAGATAATCAGAGTGACTGTTAATCCCGGAGAGCTCAAGTATTTTTGAAGTGCCATAGAGCATATGCTTAGCCCATTGGCCACCAGAGACTTCGATCATTAACTGCAAGAAGGGTTAGATACGAGCTAGCAGATGAGATGTCACCTTACCTCAAATAAGCCAAGTAGCAATGTACACCAAAGAGTGCCTTGACAATACAATGCGTCTGGTGATCTGATGTATTCCTGGAGGCTTGCAAGTGCCTTGCTATATGATTTCAATGCGAAATGGTATGGTGATCGAAGCTCATCAGAAAACCGTGTACGTGGGGACCTGCTAATTTCCAAGGCGCCAATAGCAACTGTCGCCTCTCGCAGTGGCGCACATGTTTGGATCATAGGCAGAAAGTCGGGGCCCAAATTTGCAAATTCTGGTGTGAATTCGCAGCGTTGAAGAAATAAGAAGAACGTCTTTAAGTATACGCTGTCCAGCTTGTCGCTTATTTGCGGCTGCAGCTCGCTTGCTTGTCGAGGTACAGGATGGCTTACGAATGTTAGCTCGGACACTGTAACAGCTTGAGGCTGACAATGCTTCTTCATGCGGATGCAATATTCGCAGGGGGTACCCCCTTCACACTTTTGTTCGCGTTAGTCGCAGTTGATTGATGCTTCGCGATGGCTTTCTAACCTTGATGCGTCGCCTTGCACATGGCTGGCAGCGGGTTAGTTTCTTACGCTGGTCAAGCGGCCCAACGATACGTCGAATCTTCATTTGGCGCGGTGATAGGTATGATTGGGTTGTGAGTAGGACAATTATGTCGTGGAAGCCACACAGGAATTACAAGTGGTAATGCCATTTTTGTTTGGAGTCATGACTGATGAACACGCAACGCGACTTCGTATCGAGGCTCAGCTTTAGTTCGGCCCCACCAGACTTGACTCAAAGTAGAAGCATTTGAACGCACTGGGGCCATGATGACTGAAAATGCAACCAATCACAAACCTCTGCTATCACGATGCAGCATCTTGAGGAATGTTTTACAATATTGATGGGATTCCTGCAGCGCTAAATTTGTTTCTATCAAAGGCCATTCAGACTCAAAGGCGATAGAGACTCCATGAAAGTATTATGATTAAGTACTCTCTACTGAGAGCTATTCTAATTTTATTTCTATGATTTTCCAAATTCTGGATTCCCTCTAAACAATATAAATTCCACTTTTCATTACCTTTTCCATATCAGCTTGTGATAGTTCCCAAATAACGCCATTTTGTTGTGATTATCCCCTCTCGGGCACTTTTGATAGTATTATGAGAAAAATTGAAAGCTGCAAGTCGTAAGACCCGGTTACAACCTTCTGCGAAGGACGAGCCATTTCCCGAGTAACAGAGACCGTCCTGTAATAAAGAAAATGGCAGCTAGTACGATGATAGCGAGGTAGAAGCAACCCAGGAGCCGAGCGCCCAGCTTTTCCAGCAAGATTCCACTCAGTGGGTTTGCAAGGAGGAGGGCGACAGCCACACACATGTTTGTTGAGCCTGTCCCAAGTTAGCAAGTATATCTTGCCAGGAGCTATGAAAAAGGACTCACCGAAGTATCGAGCATAATCTTGTGGCTCACAAGTCTTTCCGGTACATACTGTAGTTGTTAGTAGTGAGCGCAGCTAAGGATTTCACATTTAATCAACTTACATGGAGACAGTACGTAGAAAGATCCAGAGCAGTATCCCCAGAGTGCTGTAAAGGTATACATGAGAGGAGCTGAGGTGGTGCTGAAAGGAATGAAGATAGACGAGATGAACACCAGAATGACTAGCATGGTGGTGATCATAGCATTGAATGGCCCAACCTTGTCTCCGACGAACCCAATCGAGAAACGACCCAGGCAAGAGCAGG